ATAATTGAGGGGGGGGGGGGTTGGGAGTACAAGATCTTCAGGCACAAAACATGGCAATGATATGCAGATTCATGGTTAAGATCTTAAACAAGCTGAGGTCCCGTGCTACAAATGGTTTGTTGTCAAGTACTGCCAGAAGGAGCTCTGTTAGTATGACCATAGTCGAGATACTGCCATTTGGCGTGGCTTAAAGTCCTCTTTACAGCTGGTTAGGGAGGCTACTAGATGCATGCTTGGTGATGGATCTACATTTTCCTTCTGGTATGACCTTTGGCTTCAGTGTGGCGCCTTAAGTTTACCTTCCCAACGCTGTTCACTTTCTCCATGTCTGAATTCTGCATGGTGGAATCCCAATTCTGTGAGGGCCACTGGGATCTTTAGCTACATCCAAACCTAACCCCCAGGGCGACAGAGCTAGAGGCACTTAATGAAATATTGGCCACTGTTCATCCAAGAGTAGATGTACCTGACGCCAGAATGCCTCTCACAGACGACAAATAGCTCACTACTTCATACTTCTACAAGCTTCTCACATTCAGAGGAAGAACATGTAGGATCGCACCAATTATCTGGGATAGGATCACACAAACACCAATTTTTTCTCTAGCTTGCTTTGAGGGTCAGACACAATACGAGGTATAACATATTGAAGAAACAACAACAAACAACAATAAAACCTTTAGTCCCAAACAAGTTGGGGTAGGCTAGAGGTGAAACCCATAAGATCTTGCGACCAACTCATGCTTCGAGCACATGGATAGCAAGCTTCCACACACCCCTATCCATAGCTAGTTCTTTGGTGATACTCTAATCCTTAAGATCTCTCTTTACGGACTGTTCCCATGTCAAATTCGGTCTACCCCGACATCTCTTGACATTCTTTGCATGCTTTAGCCATATGCTATGCACTGGAGCATATGGAGGCCTGTGTTGAATATGCACAAACCATCTCAGACGATGTTGAACAAGCTTCTCTTCAATTGGTGCTACCCCAACTCAATCTCGTATATCATCATTCCAGATTCGATCCTTCCTTGTGTGGCCACACATCCATCTCAACATACGCATCTCCACCACACCTAACTGTTGGACATGTCACCTTTTAGTCGGCCAACACTCAGCGCCATACAACATTGCGGGTCGAACCGTCGTCCTGTAGAACTTGCCTTTTAGATTTTGTGACACTCTCTTCTCGCAGAGAATGCCAGAAGCCTGGCGCCACTTCATCCATTCGGCTTTGATTCGATGGTTCACATCTTCATCAATACCCCCATCCTTCTATAGCCCCAAATATCGAAAGGTGTCCTTTTGAGGCACCACATGCCCATCAAGGCTAACCTCCTCCTCCACGCGCGCTAGTAGTACTGAAACCACACATCATGTACTCGGTTTTCGTTCTACTAAGCCTAAACCCTTTCGATTCCAAGGTTTGTCTCCATAACTCTAACTTCCTATTTACCCCCATTAGACTATCGTCCACTAGCACCACATCATCCGCAAAGAGCATACACCATGGGATATCTCCTTGTATATCCCTTGTGACCTCATCCATTACCAAGGCAAAAAGATAAGGGCTCAATGCTGACCCTGATGCAGTCCTATCCTAATCGGGAAGTCATCAGTGTCGACATCACTTGTTCAAATACTTGTCACAACATTATCGTACATGTCCTTGATGAGGGTAATGTACTTCGCTAGGACTTTGTGTTTCTCCAAGTCCCACCACATGACATTTTGTGGTATCTTATCATAGGCCTTCTCCAAGTCAATGAACATCATATGCAAATCCTTTTTTTGCTCCATGTATCTCTCCATAAGTTGTCGTACCAAGAAAACGGCTTCCATGGCCGACCTCCCAGGCATGAAACCAAACTGATTTTTGGTCACACTTGTCATTCTTCTTAAGCGGTGCTCAATGACTCTCGCCCATAGCTTCATTGTATGGCTCATCGGCTTAATTCCACAGTAATTAGTACAACTCTGAACATCCCCCTTGTTCTTGAAGGTTGGTACTAATATACTCCGTTTCCATTCTTCTCGCGTCTTGTTTGCCTGAAAAATGAGGTGGAAAAGCTTGGTTAGCCATACTATCATTATGTCTCTGAGGCCTTTCCACACCTCAATGAGGATACAATCAGGGCCCATCGCCTTGCCTCCTTTCATCCTTTTTAAAGCCTCCTCGACCTCAGACTCCTAGATTCGCCGCAAAAAATGCATGTTGGTCTCATCAAAGGAGTCGTCCAGTTCAATGGTAGAACTCTCATTCTCCCCATTGAACAGCTTGTCGAAGTACTCCCGCCATGTATGCTTAATGTCCTCGTCATTCACCAGGAGTTGGTCTGCTCCGTCCTTGATGCATTTGATTTGGCCAACATCCCTCGTCTTCCTCTCGCGGATCTTGGCCATCTTGTAGATGTTCCTTTCATCTTCCTTCGTGCCTAGCCGTTGGTAGAGGCCCTCATACGCCCGACCCCTTGCTTCAGTGATAGCTCGCTTTGCGGCTTCTTCGCCATCTTGTACTTCTCTATGTTGTCGACACTCCTATCGAGGTATAGGCGTTTGAAACAGCCTTTCTTCTCCTTAATCGCCTTCTGTACATCATCATTCCACCATCATGTATCCTTAGCTTCGCTTCTCCTTCCCTTGGACACTCCAAATTCCTGTGATGCCACCTTACAAATGCAAGTCGCCATCTTCATGCACACATTGTTAGCATCCCCTTCTTCCTCCCAAGGGCCCTCCTTAATGACCCTCCCCTTGAATGCTTGAGCTACCTCCCCCTTGAGCTTCTAGTACTTTGTTCTAGCGACTTTGGCACGCTTATGCCGCTGGACATAGACTTGAAAGCGGAAGTCAGCAACAACCAGCTCATGTTGAGTGACAACACTCTCTCCAGGTATCACCTTACAATCTAGGCACACACACCTATCTTCTCTTCTCGAGAGGATGAAATCAATCTGGCTAGAGTGTTGGCCACTACTAAAAGTCACCAGGTGTGATCCTCTCTTTTTAAAGTGGGTGTTAGCTACGATCATATCGTAGGCTAGAGCAAGCTCAAGACATCTTCTCCTACTTGATTCCTGATGCCATAGCCAAAGCCCCCATGCACCCCTTCAAAACCTATGTTAGATGTACCCACGTGGGCATTGAGGTCTCCTCCTAGCTATGAAGAGCTTCTCGCCAATCGGTACACTCCTAACCATGTTCTCCAGGCCTTCCTAGAACTCCATCTTGGTGTTCTCATTGTGGCCTACTTGCGGGGCATACGCACTGAT